CAGTGTGGTGTTTAAGGTGATTAAATAGCAATGAACTATAATAAGAAAATGTAAATTTTATCTTACTGATAAAAAGAAATCTGCCTATAAAGTCCATTAAGGCAGTAGAGTAGCACTTCAAAAGAAGTCACGGATGGATCAACAAAGTCATGTTCAAAGTAGACCAGATAAAACATTTAAGAGGTRTGTTGAGAGGATCATCATGTAATTATAGTGCAACTGAAATGACCCCAATGGTCTTWTCCAACCTTCTGATCTCTAAGTGTGGGATAAACAGAACATGGCATTTGAGTGTGAAGATCAAATGAACAGAAAGCCACCTRTGTCTCTAGAAAATGAGTATTTCTCCAAAGTTAGCAGACATGGAAAGGGCGACTGTACTTTGTCCRTGACGAATGGGAAGATAGCAATAGTAAATCAGGGCTGAATTGTGGGAATAAAACCTACAGCCCTCTGCAGTGAGGTTACACCCTGTCTACAGCTGATCCCAATATGATCTTGCTTTACAGTAAAATATYGTCCTGGCATTTTCTACCACACCATGCAAATGAAATATGTTTAAATACAATCAAAAGGGTGGCAACAATTGCTGAAGACCAGGAGAGTAAAAGTCAGCTGAAGAGAGATTTAGATGTCTGTAGAGGTGCGGATTTATGTTTGTGAAGCTAYCCTCATTTCCAAGAAACTTCCTTTTAGAGAAATACTATTCTTGGAATTATATTGCTTTGTGAGAAGCATTAGTAGGTCTGCAGACCGAGGCTGCTGCTGCTGCATTTATTGTGCTTTTAACAGTGGGATGTGACCCCATGACTTCTTWAAAAATGCTTGTTAACCTCAGTTTTCTTGCTGACTAGGATTATAAAATAGGTTTCTTCCATTCAATTCGATTTTAGTACAAGAAAAGAAGACACAGGGAAAAAACAAGGAAAAAATAAGGAAAAAACCAAAACACCCAAGGGAAAAAAAATTACGCTTTTCACCCTGGTGTCAATCTGTCCAACTAAGTGTTCCTTTCCTCTTCTTTTTTTTGTTGCTAAACATTAGGACTGGTGAGATTCAACTTGATTGGTATCTAAACGACCAAAAATCAGTCACTAGCTATTCTGCAAGTAGATTTTTTTTCATTCTGTGAGCTCAGGCAGCAATTTGAGTTTAGTCTTGGCAATTTGCAAGGCACAAATATGCTTACCAAACCTTAAAGACACGGGAGTTTGGACAATAATGGTGTAACAAATGGCACATTTTAAATACAGACCAATTCCAATACTTGAAATCTACCATGAGGTCCTGTAAGATAATGAACCAACATTTCAGTGACTGCTTCCCACATACTTGTAAGGGAACAGCTCAGGAATAATACCAATGTAAATTAAGCCAAAACCTGAATTTTCATTATTATAAATGTAAGTTTCCTGCTGTCATCTGGCCCAAATTCAAAAGGTTAACTTTCTTCAGAGGTATCCTGACTAACTTAATACTCCAGAATATTCAGAAGGYTGTCAAAATTAGCATCCACAGTTATTATCATTTGTCATCTACAAAYACACAGAAAGTGCTAGGCTTCCAAAGGCTTTTTTCCCAATTGAAGGAAAAATAAAATAAGATGTCATATTTACTATGACATCACAATTCCTTTTTTTTTGTGGGGGAAAATAACCAACCAAAGAAAAGGAAATCCCAGTCACATAAATCTCAGAATAATAGGAAAGTATAATGCAGTTAAATAAACTGGCTGCTTCTCAGTCTTGTTGGCTGAGTTTAGGACCGAGGAAGACAATGGAATTTCATTCTSTGACAAATGTTTGGTATTCCCATTTTCAACTCAGACATGCCACAGCACAGCTCACACTTTACTGCTCTCCTACACGGTGTAAGTCACTTTCTTAATCCTACAATAAATGCTTTGGCTGTTTTTCCCCACCTGAAGTGCTTTAGTGTGCCAGGTGGTGAAAAATCCAAGCACTCACTCTGACTCTAGTGACTGGAGATAATCYACCACTATCATCTCAGTGTCAGTAGCATTCATTCTCACAACCATTCTGATTTAACATTAAGGCAAAATTAAAATTGCCACAGCATGAAAAYACTTGCAAAGGAAATATCTTTATATTGTTCAGAATACATTGTGCAATAAGACTAATAACTAAGGCTGTTAAAAATACAGATTGCAGATAAACACATGATCAGCAATTTAAAAGTTAGTGTTGTGTGTTGAGTTTTTCATTTGTTTCCCTTTAAAACAAAATAACTTGAATAAAATTTTTATAGTCTCTATAAAAGAGACAATAGTCTGTTAGTTTCCCTTTACAGAACTCYTTCTTCTGTTAGAAAAGTAACAGTGATTCAGGGAAATAATAAGCTGACACAAAGGCATGCAGAGCTGAAGAAAAGTTTCCAAATTTGCTCTTGCACTGGGGTGAGAAAATAAATTACCATGAATAATTCAATAAACAACTTTCTGGTCCCCTTATAGACAGTATACCAGGAGTTTATGATTTTTCTGATCTCACTGTTTATTTCCCCTTATTGGAAAAATAAAAAAATTTAATTCTGTGGATTAAACTCACTAGAAGGATGAATCAATCCCAGAGTTTCTTTTTTTTTTTTCTGATGGGATGAATGTGGAAGTGTTTATTACCTGAATGTGTACATGGGTGTGTAAATATATATATATATATATATATATATGTAAAACTTAAATATGAGCAATGAGCAGTTGAACATACAAACAGCTCTTCACTTTGCTTTATTGTGCATCACTTCCATTAAATTCTGATCACTATGATACTGAAAGCTCCATTTGGAGAAAGAACTATGGTGAAAAAAAATCTCAAAAGAAAAATATGAAAGAGGAAAAAAATGGAAAAAAAAATCACAAATTTGTAATTTTACAATGCATTTATAGAATCAGAGATTAATTACMCAGCTAAACTCCCTGTTTGGCCAATGAAAGTGAGCACTACTTGTAAGAGAAAATGAAATATTGCATTATGCAACAAAATTCTAAAATTTTACACATCAGCAGGTCTCTTGTGCCCCAGCAAATATCTTACTTTAAATTTGATACATTTCATAATTTTTCATTGATTAGTAGTACAAAAAAAATAAGGCCTTAGTGTCATCACTTTAAATATAGAAGAGTAGCAACAGAAATTATAAAAATAAACATTTCCTACTACTAACAGTTTTTTGAAGGTTTAGGGAACAGCAGTAATGTTGACCATAACTCTGAGTTTAGTGAGTTATATGAACGACCTGATTTTGCTTCGGATGACACTGTCTCTTTCTTTACCATCTTTGCACTCAAATTATACATAATRTAATGTGCCAAAACCCTGAAATAAAAGGAACAAAAAACAGTCTGAATGCAGGTTAGGTCCTTTCAAAGCAGTGAATATTTTGCCCATGAAGTTTTACTTACACCTCAAGAAACTGTCTCATGATTTCTTTTCTCCATGTTCTATTTAATGTCACTGAGAAATGCAGAGCTGTGTAAATCTACATTAAGCAAAACACTCATTGCACTCCAGCATCCTTGAAAGTGGATCCACATATGTTCACAGGCACAAACAATCTCCAAATTCAGCACCGCCTGGTGATTTACGGACACCTCAGATCAATGTGTATCATTTCAGTCATTTGCCAAAAAAGCTGTGGGGCTTGGGGGTGGATTTGTAATTAGAAATGTGAGCTGCCTATTCCATTTGGGATTGGGCAATGTCTGAATAACAGCTAGTGTGGAATCCCAGTTTCTGAGGGTTARAGCTGAATGCAGGGCTTAAGTCAGTGCCTATGAATTTCAGAGGGGCCCAGTGGCTCCCTGCCCTGCTTCTGTGGGGATATAACAGGTTTGCAGAGGCTGTGAGTGCCCTGCCACATGGATCTTTGGCACCTCTCCACTGGGTGATCCAGGGGCTGAGTGCGTGGATCCGGGAGGTGCTGGCCACAGCCAGCGAGGGACACAGACAGGATGTCCAGTGCAGGGCCAGGGACACAGAC